CAGAGTTTATAATTGTTTTGATCAGCTCTGTAAAATAATATTCTGACCCCATTTTAATGTGAGATGATGCTAACCATGATTGGTATTTATTAGATTTATTCTGACTTTTGAAACTTTCACTGAACATCTTTGTGGTCTAACAGAGGACTTTTCACACCCCTAATGAAATCTGCCTCAACCCTTATGCTCTCTTGAATTTTCTCACTCTTTTCCTCGTTCCTACTTTTCCTGAGCTTTCACCTTTTATTTCCTGTCTTTATTCCCCTCTGCCAAACATGAGCCGGTGTGTTTGCAAGAGTCAGCAAGAGCTGCTGGTATGCGAGAAGCCACAGAGTGTTCTGCAGCTTTGACATGATTACAGATTGTGATAAAGAGGCTACTATTAAAAATGGGAGAAGTGTGTTTCCAACCAGGCCTTTTGTGAGCACGTGCAAGACTTAAAATGTGCAATGGCGAGAAAGAAGGGTTGGTTCTCCTGAAGGCGGGTTTACGAGAACAAGATTGGAGGGGTCACAGTTTTGATCAAACAGCTTTTAGATCTGACACAAAAACAAAAAAAAAAAAAAAAGAAAACAACAATCAAAATGCTTGGGTATCAGAATGTCCTGACAGTGTGACAGAAGGAGAGAAAAAGACTTCTCTGAAAGATGGCCAAAGCTGATAGCTCTCTGAAAAGTAGCTCTGTTAGCCTTCAGTGGGACCGACATGTGAACAGAGGCAAACATGGCCGCCTTTAAACTAAAAAGAGCTCTTTCAGAAGTCAGTCTGCACTTTCTCAGCGTTACCAGAAGGATCCTGCATAGTAATTTTGTAATGGAGGTAACTAGCTGGTACCAATTTATTTTTAGGGCTTAGCATGTGTCAAACCTGCAACTGGAAGAAAGGTTGATGGATGCAATGAAAATAACACTTTTAGTTATTTTTTTCTGTACAAAAACCTAAAAACACACTAGTATGGGAGGCCATTCTGGACCGGTAATGTCTATATCATCATCAGAAATCTGTTTCAGCATGCCCACACTCTGTACACATGCCCACATCAAAAATGTAAAAAAAAAAAAAAAAAGTTCTGCATTCCTTTCAAGCTCACCATGCTTTTCCCAGAGCCAGGGCTTGTCTTTATTACCTCACACAGCAATGTGTTTTTTACGGTTTCACTGAAACCTGAATGGCTGTATACAGAGGAAGTGGCAACAATGTGTTGCATATGGCTTATCTGCAATTGGCATCGTAGTGTCAGACAGTAGTAAAGCCTGATTTTCCTCGGCTGCAGACTGCGTGTGGCTTTAGGCGGAGTGGGACCAGGTGATGGGAGCGTCTGTCCACTCATTGGTTAAAGACATGATGTATGGAAAAATAAACGTTATCACAGGTAATCAACAGAAAAGAAAGAACAAGCCTGCTTAAAATAACCAGTGACGAGGGTTAGACCGATATGTCAGTCAGCCAATATATCGGGCCGATATTTAAAGGTTTTTTTATATATTGGCCAATATTTTTCCTTATTAAAGACAATTTAAAATCAGGAGGACCTTCGGGTGTCCATCCATCAATTTTCGGCCGCATATGGCCGGGTCATGGAGACAGCAGCCTAAACAGAGAGGCCCAGTCTTACCTCTCCCCTGCCACTTGGGCCTGCTCCTCTGGGGGGATCTTAAGACGTTTCCTGGCCAGCCGAGAGACATGTTCCCTCCAGCATGTTCTGGGTCTTCCTTTAGGTGTTCTCCCATTTGGATGTGCCCAGAAAGCCTCAGCAGGAAGGCGTCCTGGAGGCATTCTAACCAGATACCCAAGCAACCTCAAATGGGTCCTCTTGATGTGGAGAAGCAGCGGGTCTACTCTGAGCCCCTCCTGAATGACTGAGCTTCTCACCTTATTTCTAAGGCAGAACAAGGACACCACTCTGCAAAAAGCAGAGACTCAGTCCGCAGGCCACCAAAACAGATCCCCTCAACACCTTGGCTGCACCTAGAAATCCTGTCCATAAAAGTTATGAACAGAAAGGGCAGCCGTGGCTGAGTCCACCTCTCATTGGAAACTAGCTCGATTTACTGCCGGCAATGCAGACCAAACTCTGACACCAGTCATACAGGGACCTAACACCTCGTATCAGGGTGCCTGCCTGGTACCCTATACTCCTGGAGTACCCCCCACAGGGCCCCCCGAGGGATGTGATCTAACGCCTCTCCCAAATCCACAAAACACATGTAGATTAGTTGGGCGAACACCCACGCACCCTCCAGGACCCCTCTAAGGGGATAGAGCTGGTCCAGTGTTCCAGGAAGAAAACCACATTGGTCCTCCTGAATCCGAGGTTCGACAATCCATCAGGTCCTCCTCTCTCGAATCCTCGGGCTGCCCGGTGCAATTTACGCTCTATAATAACATCTGCTTAATAAATACTCTAAATTTACTTAATTTAGGTGTATGATGTTAAAACTGAGCAGTTCACAAAGTTAAGATTTAACCGATTCAGCTTCAGAAAGTCTGTTTGTCAACTGATGTTATTAGTGATATTTCAGCATGAAAAATGATGGAAAACTTTTGGTTGTAGGCAATTGAAATTGACCCGTAAAAATCGGCAGTACATGTCAGCCAATAACTGACCGTGTCTCCTACAGATCGGTATCTGCATTTGACCTCGACCAGTGACTTTAATGAAACATTTCCAAAACCAGCAACAAATAAAGAAAACTAAAACGAATCTCACAGTCAGGTAAAAAAAAGTTCACTGGGAACTTGATGAAACGGAGAATATCTGGGGAGAGAGATGGAGCGACTTTTGAGCTGGAGATGGGGAGAAACTGAGGGAGGGTAGGTTAAGTTTTGGGGGAAAGTTAGTGGCCCTGTGGGGGTTTCTTCTAGAGTTCAGCCTCTCTGACTGGGGAAGGAAGGGGAGGGGAGGGGGAGACAAGGACCAGCCAGGGTCAGCAGCATGGAGTATGTGTAGATTATATGTCTGAACTCAAACCTACTAAAGCCCTCCAAGTTTTGCAGCTCTCAGCGCTGGCTGCCAATAATTAGAGCACCTACGAAGTTATTGACCTGAGTTATAGCCTCCAAAACTGTAAAAAGAAAAAAAAGTCCTGTCTGGAATGAGCAAGGCTCCATAAATCTCTCAAAACAGAAGGGTTTCTAGTGTTAGCACAAGAAATAAAATGATTGTGTTGCAGCACGTCAGCCCACAGAGCAGCCGTGGTAAACAATACTAATGCTACTCAGAGCGCTGGAGCACCAGGGGGATTAGCCAGTTTTGAGTTTCCAACATGCTGCATGAAACTAGCAGCGAGGAAAAAAATCAGACAGGAAGGAGACGAAAGACGAGTGTGAGAAGAATGCGTATGGATCATAAAATTGTGACTCCAGGCAGAAATGAATAATTCTAAAATTCATCCACATACCAGCACAGCTTTAAACAAATACAGCATCGTTACACTGCTTGAGAGGTAGAAATAGTTGGTGGTGGCAAGAGTTGGCTGTTTGATTTTTCTCACTGCCTTTCATGACCTCACAGAAACACATCAAAATCTGCTGATGATGGAACAAAAGAGCTATTACACGTAGATCTGTTGGTGAAAGTGTTCGTTATGTGTTCGCCTGCACGAGTCTGTGTGTCTAGGCTTGAAAAAACAAACCCAAACAACTCAACCAGAGAGGTAGATTTTAGGTCAATAAACACTGTAATGAAAATCTCTCCCAGAAACAAAAAAAGAGGCAGAAATGTGAAAAAAGTTTCCTTTCATCAGACAGGAAAAAGGCTGAAGTGTTAGACAGACGAGGGAGGGCACTGTGTGTTTATAGTGAGTGTAGCCAGCAGCACAGATTGACAGGAAATGGAGTATTTTTTTTGCATGTCGGGCTGTACCACTTGTGCTGGTGTGACGGGGGTGGAGGTGAAGAACTCACAGACTTGACTCATCCTATTATCATGCATGGGGCTGTTTGCTTTAGCTCAGCCTGAGATGATCTGTCTGCTGAGCAACAGTCCGCACCAGTGATGGTCTGTTTTATTGACCACAGACATCCTATTGATTTCCTTTGATTAACCGTCACTGAGAGGGTGCCTCTGTTCTTTTTTTAATTGAATTGTTTTTTTTAATCAATAAACACTCAGAGCATTTTAAAGGAGACTAGATGTGAATCATAAAGATGAAGGCTTTACCTGCATGTGCAAACTCATCTGCATCCTTGCATTTCTTTGCATAATGCTTTGGTGGTTATAAATCACAAACAAGGTCAAGTGAACCTGCAAGGAGTGTGTGTAGCACATGGTGTGTTTGTACATTGGAGGTATTTGTCTGTGTAAATGCACTGCAGGGATTGAGCCCTCATCCATCACTGTTAAAGCCCGTCCAGAGGGGGGAAGACAGTGAGGACTGCCCCGTCTTCCATTCCCTCGAGCAATGGATTTCTAAGTCTACACAATCTCAGTTTTCTGAGTGTCTTCCTAACACACACACACACACACACACACACACACACACACACACACACACACACACACACACACACACACACACACACACACACACACACACACACACACACACACACACACACACACACACACACACACACACACACACAGTGATCCAGCTCCCCAGGCCTGTGGCTGGACTTTTAATATGGTTATGATTAGAGAAAGGGGGCTCAGAAGAGGGAGGAAGGGATGGGGTTCATATTTACTACGGAAGACTGTGGGAGGTGTTGTCTGGAGACAGACAAAGATCAGATCTGACTGGGATCTGATGGAGAAGCCTACTTGTGTTTGTTTATATTTGAAGCTGAAATTTAAAAGATGAAAAGAGCAACAACAAAAAAGGGAGGATAGGAAGAAGTTTTGTTCTCCAAGCAGATCAGCTCTTCCTCCCATGTGGGCTGTGTTGGACAGCCCTCCCCTCTCCTCCGTCCAACCCTCCTCCCTTAATCCCGCCTTCTCTGGCATTCTCTGCTGCTACTCATTCCTCCCTCCTCTCAGAGCGTCATGCCTAGGCAACTGGTTTGCTCCTCTGTGTCTGGGGCTCAGTGAGAACTGTGAGAGGCTATTTAGCTCTGTTACAGCAGTCGGGTAGCAGCTCACCCTCAAGAGTGAGGGGGGACAAAAAAAAGGAAGGAGCAGAGAGGCAGAGTCACGCTCAGCGTAGCCCCAGCCAGGCAGGAACCAGATCTGCATTCCAGGACGAGGACGGAAAGAGGGAAAGCTGTGCATCTGCAGGAAAACCAGCGCAGAGAGTGACAGTGAGAGATAAGTGAAGGGAAGGTAGCTGATAGCTGTTGCTGCTGTCACTGCCTCAGTGGGTGACGTGAGCAGTGAGAGCAGGGCAGCAGCATAGGCAGGACGTGTAGTGATTTGTGCTGAGGGCGTTCAAGAGGGGGTTACCATGTTTGACTGTATGGAAGCTCTGGGAATGGGCCCCCGTCAGCTGTATGATGTCACCAGCCGTGGTGCGTGCATGCTGCGGAAGGCGAGCCCCTTCTTTGCAGGGCTGGACCCCTTTGCCTGGACGGGCAGTGCCAGTGTTCAGTGTAAGTGACATCCTGTTTGTGTATGACAATCACATCTCTCTTTCTCTCTCTCTCTCTCTCTTTTTTCTCTCTCACTCACACACACACACACACACACACACACACACACACACACACACACACACACACCCATTTTCTCATTGCCGGCTTGTTTACCCCTCAGGGCTCAGCTAAGGGGGCTGCTGTCAGGGGCCACAGAGTAGCACAGGAAGGGACCGCGACAGACAGTCTCTTTTTCTCCTCCTCCTCTCTTCTCAGCCACTTTTAGCTGCAGAGAAACTTTTCTGCCAGGATATTATTATATTCAGCACTCAGCTGTTTGTTTGTGTTAATGCACTTGAGCTCATGAGACTTCTGCACACATGGGGTCAGGTTTCAGTGACGACGAGAGCCACCTGATGTTTGACCTTGCCATGTTGGAGGGAGAAAAGGTTTTGTGAGTGACCAGAAACAAAACCACCAGAGCTGACCGTGTGTTTGACGTGATCCTGAAACTTGGATGGAACATTGAATTATTAAATTAACAAATACAGAAACAGGAGCAGGAGACGTTCTCATCATCTTTTCTTTACCCGGGCTTGGTAACAGCTTGTTTCTTGTTCGACTTAAAAACAAAGCCAAACAACGAGAAGCTTCCCCCTCTCTTTCATGCTCATTTCTCTCTTCGTTCTTCCATTCCTGACTTCAGAAAAAAAGCCTATGACAATAACAACAACTGGGGTGCATTTCCATACACTTTCAGGGTGGCTGCTGCTCAGTGTGTGACACAGAAGGAGGTGGTGGGGGATCTGAGCAAAGTCATTGTGGGAAAAAGGGAGAAAAGTGTGGAGCAGTCAAAGCAGATTCAACTTTGGAAAAACACTCAAGAATGAAAGAGGAACTGAGGAAACGGAGTAGATAAAAAAATGAAAGCTGTTCAGATATTTTCTTGTTTTGAAGCTGCTTAAATGGGAATTGTGACACTTCTTTTATTCCTCCTGTTAGCTTGTCCTGCTGCTTTTTGTTCCTTGTTACTGGGTGGAAGGGAGGGGGGTCATCTGTCTTCATTAATCGTGAAGACACCAGCATTTCAGTGGCCGTCATGCACACTGGCTAAGCTTTAATGAAGACAGATGCCCTGTCAGTGGAGGCTGCGACCAGAGGGGACTCCAGCCAGCCAGCCTGTCCTGCTCAGCTCTGCTGGCTCTGCTAGGGGAGCCCTGATGATAACAAGATGAGATTTGTTTATTTAATCAATTAGGCCTCTTTTCTCTTTAACCACGCTGAAAAATAATCACCAGCCCCTCCTCAGATTAAAGATATTTTCCTTTCCCTCTTTATTCCCCACAGTCAGAGATTTGAGAAGTGGTGAGAAGCTGCCCCGAGGGTGGTGTGTGCAGGCTGGTCGGTGTGTTTAATTCAAACCCTCTGTGCCCGGTAACCTTTGTAAACAAGGCTGCCCTGTCCCTGCACAACGAGCCATAATGCTGCTCTTTACCCAGGCAGTTGCCTCTCATTGTGCTCATCAATGAAGCTGATGAATTGATGTTTGAGTCTGATATCTCATTAGACGGGGCCAGCTGCACAACAGAGGGAACGGGCCTGGCTCCTGATGCCACACACACACACACACACACACACACACACACACACACACACACACACACACACACACACACACACACACACACACACACACACGGTGATCCAGCTCCCCAAATTAACTTTTGATTCTGTTTGAAAAAATTGATTTGCCAGGTCGTTATACTAAACAGGGAATGTCAAGAATTGTTTCCCTCTCTAAATCTTCCACCAGATGAGTGCATCCTATAGTCTTGGCAGTAAATCCGACACGGTAATAAGTGTCACTACTGTTGGCGGTGAGCCAGGCCCAGCCGACACACTTTAAAGTGTGTGGTCGGTTTTCCTGCTAGTTTGTTCTCTAATGTGGAGACCTGTGTGTCAGAGGTTAGTCAGAGGCTAATACAGCCTGGCCAGTGTCAGATCTGCTGCATGTGTGGCGGCCTTGTCAGCCTCCTGAAAGGGAGGCCCTTTCAACCAGCTCAGCTGCCTGGTGTAATGCTCTTAAGTGCCTTATGCCACGGAGCTGGTTCTGCATCTGAGCTGCCACACACATAAAGATAATGGACACTGATTTAGTCATATGTCAATGAGAACTGAATTAGTCAACTGCTAGGGAAGCTATACTCCCTCTCTGTCAATGTTCATTTGTAAGAAGTATTAGCCGCTCTAAGGGGTCAAAGATGGGGAAAGTGTTGTTTATTTTTTTCTCTGGTGCAGCTTGATCATTTGAAGCACAGTTTGAGGATTCCCTGTGATGCTCACAAGCAATACATGTGAGAGCCTGAGGTTGAACGGATTGTTTTCACACACGCACACACTGGCACATCCACAGAGGCACAAGCTTCTTTGTTTTCCCCTAATGTGTCAAGAGGTGAACTGAGTCACTAATTAAAATAGAAGTATAGATCTCTGCAGGAGCTCCATGTGGCCAGTGGCACATTATGGCCCGATCATTTTTTCACTGATAGGAGTCTGCGGTTATTTCATTATAATTACAAAAGATTCAATTAAATGATTAGAATGCCTGAGGGGGCAGGGCTGGGAAGAGATAGCGGTATCTCAGATAGGACTGTGTGTGTGTGTGTGTGTGTGTGTGTGTGTGTGGTGTGTGTGTGTGTGTGTGTGTGTGCGTGCGTGTGTGTGTGTGCGTGTGTGCGTGCGTGCGTGCATGCGTGCGTGGAAGAGCGAGATTTAGTGTAATAAGGTTGCAGCTCTGACAAGAACTTAACACGCCTGTCCTGTACATAAATCCTGTTGATCCTTTAAGATAACGTCACAACAACGTGCTGAAGTTATGATGATTTTTAACACTTAAAGGTCACAAATCTGAGGGGAAAAAAAGCACAAGACTTACGTTAAAGGTGCGATTTAACTTGTGCATTTGATGTGTACATTCATTAAAATAATTAAATATTTGAATATAGTATTGTTGTATTTGACTGTAACAACATGGAACATATTTTAATCACACAAAGCTATTCTAAAGATCTACTTGTGTGGCAATGTCACACCCCCTTGTTGACAGAGCCGCCTCACCCCCAGCAGTAATAGCTGAGCCCATTAATGGGCAGCGCAGCCTATAAATAAACACACTCAATCACAGCAGTTGCTAGTTTTATTTCATTCTCCAGAAACTTTTTTTCTTAGTTCTGATCATGCAAAACTATTAAAGTAGCAACCAGCTCTTATATTTGAGGAGTGCAGCCTCATTGATATCAGTGGTGTCTACATGTCTGCTCTGCTGGCGTTGGGCACTCAGACTGCTGTGTCAAATCTAGAGACGGTCATTGTGCCAGGCTGGATTCCTCACACCTGTGCTGGAATCCTTCTGTGCACTAAAAGCAGTTTATAGCCCCCTGCCGCATCACTCACATCACTGTAAATAAAAGCCCAGTGCAGAGGCTCAACGTCAGACTGGCGTTTTGCATAGTTCCGTCTAAGTTGGTGTGTTTTACTTTGTCCACGTCAGTTCATTTCACAACAGTGCTGACTATGACGCTGCAGCTGTCTGTAGATTGCAGCACAAGAGAAGGCCAACAGTTTTTCAGCTGTGTTTGAGTTCTGGCTGAATGCAAAATATGAACTTTTGTAAGTTGCACAATAGTTTGCTGGTCCAAGAGTTATTGTTCCTCCCCCTGATGCCCATGTCTGGCTGCTGCTATTGTAGCTGTTTACTGAGAACAGCCCTCTTACCGCCACCCAGGCACATTTCCCCCTGAACAAAGGCACGGGCAGTTGGTAAACTTTGTATGAATATGCGTGTGCTTTATCAATGTGTGCATCTGAGACACAGGATGTACCCGTGCACACATGTGGTTGTTTATAGCATATATAGAAGCGTTGTGTACACCAACACTGAGACCTGTGAGACCTGAGACCAGTTCTGTCACTAATGTGTTATTGACTGACGGCTCGGCTCGAGTGTTGCTAGGGGCTCGGTGGGGCCTCATGCAGCCTGACCGCCCTGCCTCTGTGCATGTGTGAATGGGTCATGTTTACGCAGCCGACAGCGCTTGACAGGGAGTGGTGAGCGACCGGTGTTGGACAGCTATTATCTGAGCTCCAGGGTGGAGAGTGATGGAAGAGCTTGAAGAAGGGGGGGGGGGAGTTGTTTTCCCTCAAACATTAGTCAAATTCTGTCATGTGCAACTGCCATGAACATCTCTCTGGTTCTGGTGCATTAGTTCATTTGTATATACTTGCATTAGTTCATTTGTTTGTATGTCTACACGTCCATTTCAGTGTGATTGTGTCCCTGTGTGTGTGTTCTAGCTGTGAGGTGTGTGAGGAGGAACAGGTGTGTGTAAACTGGCTGGCCTGTTATTGTTCTCCCTGCTGCGTAGTTTGGGAGAGAATGGATGTTAATGGAGACTTCCACAGATGCTTTTCTGTGGGTCTTTGCACATTTGTGTTTATTTGTGCACAAGAAATCAAGTTACTGTTAGAAAGCAAGTTTATTTGTTTATTTTTTTATTGTATAATAATGTCCGTTCTGTAAAGAGAATTGTTTTGGATTCTGCTTCTGTTCTTCATCTTGTGCATTTTGCTCTCTCTAAGTGGGCTCTTTTACAGGTAGAGATTCATTCTAGATGTTTAACAATCTAAGTTTTATTTCCTAAACGTATCTTTTGTTGACAAAAATGGATTTATTGCAACGAGATTCAACAGTGGAGGTTTATCTCCGAACTTGACACAAGAAGTGCATTATCATGTATACCCATGACACACACTCACGAGCAAATGCGCTTTGCCACAGAAGAGAAAACACGTGCTTTTTGTGGCTACAAACAGGGAGATAATACTCTCCCACTGTGAAGTTGCCTGTAAGTGATTGAGCGTTGTCTGTTGTCCTCTTGTGATCAGAGTCCAGTTTAACAGTTTGAACACACACACACACACACACACACCTGCACTCACACACGCAGGCACTGTGAGTT